TGTTCCTACCAAAGCTAATCTTTAAAAGATAAATGTGAATACAAAATAGTATTACTCATAATCTAGTTCATTTATTTGGTTAAAAGACTATTGGCAAAATATCGAACGATTTACTTAATATATACGTCAGAAACTAGCCTAAAAGGCTTCAACCAATTACCTATTGTTAGTGGTAGTGCAGATGTAAGGGCCTACAGGGCAATTTATACACGCCACTCATTTCATTACACAGAGATAAGGGTCTCGTGAATATTTGCGCTCAATTTGGCACATTTACGTTTTAGCGTCGAGTGCCGTGAATAAAAACCACTGTCTGAACACAAATCCTTATTTTTATTTAATTTTGTAAACACTATGACTATAAATAAAGTAGTGTTGAACAAAGAAATAGGTATGCATGACTTCTAATATAATTCATATTACTGTAATAAAAAATAAGTAAGCTGTTAGTAATATTACGACATTCCCTTAGACATCTTACACAGCCTCTATTAAAGCGATGTTAGTAATTAGATTCGGCTATCATAGAAGCAATAACAACTCGGTGAAACTCGTAATTGGCAGTAACTGCAGCTCCAGTGTATAATTGGTCGGGATCAAGTTGGGCGCGTGCGGTATACGTTGACGTCACACTCGAATGGGAAACGCTAACTAGTGGCACTCAGCTAGGCTAACACGGGCCCGGGCAAGGCTCACAATACGGATAGTATGTCCCCTCAACTCGGACGAGCTCAAATAATCACGTTATCGTTGCGATATTCCCCGGAGCCTGAAGCCACGGAACGGGGAAGGCTGAACGAGTAATCCGCTTTGGTCGCGACAGCCACAACTTTGTCGATCGCTCTTCTGAATTCTCTACTTTAAACTTGCATGCCGCGACAAAAGAGTAATAAGATTCGTTCACGGCTAACTTTCTTAAACCTTTAAACTCGAAGTTAGATTTTATTCGGTATACTAATACTTTGAAAAAATTTGGCGCTTGTAACATAGCGAGTTAGCGACATACTTTTTGATACCGTGTATTTTGGACACGTACTCAGCGTGTAACCTACGTGCGCATGATCGCGGCGTGCTATCTAGTTACATTCATATTTAACAAACGTAAGTATTCAGTATTTATACGTAAGCGGTGTGTTTGATGAACAACAACGGTGTAATATGTACATTCTTATTTGATTTCGATCAGGGATTGTACGGATATGAATATTAATACAGTAATTTAGCCGGCACGATAGCACGAACCCCTGAAACTAAAATTGTCTGTTAACCCGCAGAGATAATAAGCTTCAGACGCTATTAAAGTAAGGTCTCATGCTATGATAAAAGGAGACAGTCATCGCAGGCATGGCGTCGGCGACACTGCACGGACTTGCTTACTGCATTATTTAACTGCATTCTGCAGTTCAGTAGCCAGCGTAAACTTTGTATCTGTAGTGCAGTGTTTGTGAATTTATGAAGCGACGTGTCTATTACAGTGATGTTCGGAGATATATCACTGTTTTACGTATTCTTTAAAATGTTTAAAGTTTTCTATCACATCCTATTTATATAGGATAGTACTTGTATATTTATATCTTAACTAGCTGCACACGCATTTCTAAAAATAAAGCTTATTTTACTCCTTAGTACATCAGCTGCCTGCCAATATAAGCCCCGTCAAAGTCGGTCTAGCCATTTCATAGATTAGCCATTACAAACAGACAGACAAAAATTGTGAAAAGTGTTATTTTTGGTATATGTATCGTATTATATTCATATACATGTAGTAAAAAGCGGCTACTTCAATTTTACAAACAGACACTTTAATTTTATTTTCTTTATAGATGTACAGATTAATGTCATTAAATTCAGTTGAATCAGGTGTGAGCTTAACGCTTCTGTTTTGTTGGTATTAGTAGCTCTGTGTTTGTACCCATTAACATGAAAGACTACAGCTACACGATACGCACGTAGTCTATCGGCAACCATTTATCCGGACGTCTCGAACAAAAATAGTGATATGAAATGTCTATAAGTTATAAAATACAGCGTGTAGTATTTTCGATGAGAAAGTCATTTTACTGGGCGTCCCTTCCTGCGCCAACCCGACCGGTTCCCGTCTTCCATCACTCATTCCGGTCACGAAATAGGTGGATATGTGTGTAGTGTGTACCTACATGATATTCCGCACACCACACATTCGCAAAAGGGTTCTCGCTTAGAAACTGGGTAAGATAATATTTTTCTGTGTACCTACTAAAATAATAAAGAAATTGTCAACGAAAAAGATTATTAAGTACTATCACGTAATTATTAAATCACATTAAATGTATGTTAATTATATTGAACACAGCATTAATAAAACTCTCGACGTCGTTGTACCACACGTCATACTCGTAGGTAAGTTTGACAATCGCACAAAAATATGCTCGAGAATATTTCCTGTTTATTATATTCACCAACTTTATAATGTAAATGCGCCTTTTTCACCAAAAAGCGCATGGTAAATGTATATTTATATGAAGATTCTTATTTCGGTTTAAAGGCAGAGTTTTTTATTTGGTAGTGCGATGTACAGAAGCGTTTCAAGCAGTGTCTTGTGAAAACGTATGATATTCGTAGCGTACAAGTGTAGTGATGCTTTCATGAGACGTTAGCAAGCTGGCTCACTGACTGAACTGCCTGGCAATACTCCACGACTGTATTGCACACATTTATTTAAGTATACTTCTCGTGTAAATGTACATTGGCCTAACATATTTTCTTCAAGTACTACATTCGATATTTATAAACGTAGTAACTAATTAAAGTTTACTACGACAGAACCGAAAGGTAATTTAAACCATTATTTTGAGAGACTGTTTTTTGATATGATATAAGATATTATACCTCTAGAATACAGATTCTGTAAAAAAATTACGGTAAGTAAATGGGAACATAGATGTTCGATGTTTCACCATCGTGTTTGGGGGAGAGAGCCCGTAAAAGTGTCACTCTGTTGTTTGTGTCTGACTGATGACTTGTCTGAAAATGACTGTCCATTTGAGTGAACTGCAGCTCTTGTACATTTAACTATGGATATGATCTAACAAAAAATTTTGACTTCATAAAAAAAACTACCTACCTAAATTGATATTAATGAATGTGTGCATTTTCTTATTGTTTAAGAGTCGATTTAAATTGAAACTTGCTAGTCTAGTATTGCTAGTTTAGTATTGTCTTTTAAATGATTACATTCAGAAGTACCTTTTTCAAATCACATAGAATATTCGATAGGAACCGTTAACACGTGTAGACATAAGTTATCACGTTCTTAATCGCGACACAAATGTATTCTTCGCACGCAGAAAGAAAAAAATCGAAATACGATCCCCAGGAGTGGAGGGCAGCAAAAATGTATTCAAACTCGACCCGGTTACTTAGTCTAAAATATAAATTTTAAAGGTACAAAGCTATTCCCTATTGTATTAAGCAAATACAAGCGTTTTAATTATTCGCATTTATCTATGTCGTTAAATAGAAAATGATCGTACTTAATTGCCTCGTTTAATTTAAAAATCCTTTTCGGGTTCCGTAGTCTGATAACAAATTCTTTGGAATATTTTTGCAATACCTTATCATAATTACGAGGTACATAAAATATGCTTTCAAAGTACCGCTTGTACCTTATAATTTGGACAATTTGGACATTTCATTCACAATTTTACAAAAAGACCTTAAATACGCAAAGTTATTATTAATCTTAATGATCTTTTAAGTCAAAATGTAATAACACCGTCATTAATTGAAGTGCCAATCAATAACATAGATCTTGGAATATTTCGTTTAAATGACGTAGACATGCCTACGCGACGTAGCCCGCGTAGCAACTCGTAGCGTACTGTTGTCACTTCATAATTATAACACTTTTGTTTTATTTCTAGGAATAATTTTTTGTTACATGCTTGTTACAGGTTCTTAATAATTAGCAACATGAACATATCAAGCAAATATTCAATATAAACTATTCAAATAATTAACTTATTTTAAGTATAATAACGTGCTACGTAAAGTTTACTCTTCATAGACTTACTTCTTTTTCAGCCAAATTACGGTATTATAATATTCAATCCATTAGATCTTGATCTGCAAAAGAATAGAAGAGGTAAACTATAATAATATAAGCAAAAGCATGGGTATCGTAGCCAGTGCGTACACGTGTTACGTGTGTCAATAATATCGTAACATTTGCATGTAAAATATTTTATTATTTAAACGTTACTCCTATAAAATACTAAAGCTAAATATAATTAGAGTATTTATTTGTTGTCGTCGGGCTAGCTACATCAGTACTTGAATACGATAACATGAAAAAATATTTTTGTGCGTTGTCATCGAGTCTGGCAGCATATTACACGGGGTAATCATCGACCATATAAACTGTGGAAGGGATTTGCTGTGATCAGTCACAGCGCATTAAGGCGCATATTGGCAATATAGGCGCATTGAGCGCCAGCCGGCTCAATACCGCCGCCCCTCGCGCTACACTCATAAACCTGTCATTCAGTGCTCCATTATGATTCCTTTGGCAAACATCGACTAAGCAATTGTCAAGCTTTACACTTCCAGATAAGTGTTGGCTGTATGGGCAAACATAATTACCTTATTATACTCATTATTCGTGCAACACTTACTGCAGCCCGGTGTTTAAAATTGATCACGACTAATGATGTTCAGCCCAGTCGTCTTAACTATGTTTAATACGATTAAAAAATTAAATGAATTGTTGAAATGGTGTTATTTTTAGAAGCGATGTGGGCCACCTAATTTTTGGCTAACATGATGAAATTGTAATATGAGCGCGGGGAGTATCGACATGCAGTGTGGAGCGTAGTGCTAGCGCGGAGGTCACGCCGCGCGCCGCCGAGCAGGGCCAGGCGGACGGCGAGCACGTGAGCTCCTCACCGGGGACCATTCATGTGCGAGGGCGGCGGCTTGCGCGCGCACCGATCAATACGCGCTGGGCGCGGGCGGGCAGTGCCCGGCCCGCCGCGCGACGCCTCGCACGCGCCTCCGCCGCCGCGAGCCCATGACCGCCCTCCACAGATGACGGAGCCCGCCCGCACCCTACGAGAGCGCCGCACTGTCCCCGCACTCAGCACGACCACTCTCACCGCGCGATCCTGCATTCGCTCGTACCGCGCGACGATAAGGTAGGAAAATCGATAGTCCAAGTGCCGCAGCATCCGCTGACCGCTCCGTCGTCGTCAGCCGCACACCCGCCGCCTGGCCGCCTGCTCGCGGCAGCAGCCTGCTATAGCTGCTAGCCGTACGTCACCACCCTCACTCCACATGCTAGATGTATTATGGCCACGTTGCGCTAATAGTTTTAGAACCATATTTTGTAAAACTTACCGTTTTAAACGATTTTTTAATTTCATTTGTCCTGTAATTAATAACTATGTATATTTCATACAGGAAACCTGATAAACTAAATGTGTATATTGAAAAATGTTTTCGATTAAACTAAATCCAAACAAAACGCTTACGTGCTCTTTGCTGGTGTCTACCATTTGCATCATTATTAGAGTTTTCTAAAATTATTATTTAATCTGTAAAATTTCAAATTAGAACATGTTATTTTTATGTAATTCTAATTGAATGTAGAAATTGATTTTCAATAAGTGTTTCTTGACGTTTGAAGGTGCTTACATATCACAAACATATGTTACACTCAAAGTCGGTAGGTGTCGGTTTGTGGTTGTAACTTTGTACTATCAATGTCCGGCCCTAATCCATTAATAAATAAAAACAGTTTTTCACAAATATCTACGCATAAATCAAAAACATGTATCGACGCTTTTAAGTGTAGAGAAAAAAGCTCTAATTCCGTAGATTTTTATTTTATAATAGACGAAAGCTCTCAGTGCGAGCAAAAAGGCTGTCCCTTCCTTTACTAATTAAGGTAATCTTATTCAAATAAACTACGATTTCAATATAGGATTCTGTAAATAGCAGGGTTGTCAAGATACATAGAAGCACCCCATTTATATCAGAGAAACTGTATCGAAACTCATTTATCAGATTGAGCCCAGTCACAAAGCGGCCCATCAAACAAAATTTCCCACAGATAAAACTCAAAAATATACAAATAAAAGGAGCTTGGGAAGCCTTTCGAAATGGCCCTTTTATTAAACGAAATATATATCCACAAAGGACAGCGGTTTCCTTCAATATTATGTTGATTTATTTTATTGTTTGTCGTTACTTCAAAGTCATGTCTAGGATTTGCTACGGTTCATTTTGCATAAGGAAAGTTTCTTTTACCTCTTTCTTTAACATAACTTTAGATTGAACTTTATACAAAGTGAAGATAATAATGAAATCAAAGACTTTTACATCTTCACAATAGATACTTTGGGGTCTTGTATTTTAAGATGGGAAAATCATCGAATGACTGCTCCCGCCTGGGTGAGGCGACAGGGAGTGTCAGACTCTTACTGACTAAAAACCACCCCGTTCCTTCTCCTGCACTTCGAGCCGGAGCCCCGGTAACACGTTAGGTTCTCCGCGACTCTGAATCGGCATCAGCCCTCCGAATCAGCATCAGCCCTTACTTTGGGGTCTATATCGTATAATTAGTGACTATGTTATACATATAATTACGGTATAAAACACCACGGCGTTGTCCAATCTGAACGTGTCAATAATTACGAAAAAATGCATTGTTCAGTTAAGGTAGTAAGTATACTAAGTATGTAAATGAGGTTTGCATATTGACGGCTTTGGCAAGTTGTAGGGGCTGGGGTGTAGGTCGATTATATGTCGTGATGCAGTGCAATTACTTGCCACGGGAAATAGTCCAAGGACGAGCCGCGATTCAAAGGCCACCTACCTCTGTACCGCCTAGCTTATCGGCTATGCTAATATGTATAATATTTATATACGAAGGTACTTAACTACGTAATTACTTACTTCTGCCATTAAACCAAAATTCTTATTACGGTTCTCGTGGATTTATTACTATTGAATTAACACATTCAACTTGTTTAACGGCTTATTATGGGTATTTAGAAACTCAAGCTATAAAAATAAAAACTATTCTTATTGTCTAGGAATCTTAAGAAAACGCAAAACTACAAGAAATTATGAACTTCTTACATAAGACGCATATGCTCATAGGTTATCTCAAAAAACATTTTCAGTGGACTGTCACTGAATCACTTTATGTTGACACCTCTAGGCACCTAAGTACCTGACTCTTATCCGAATTTGCAAATTGTCGGCGCCTCAAATCCTCTCGTAATTGACACATTTTACGAGGAGTTAAGTCTTCAACAAACATGATTCAATGATGTACAATGTACATATTCACGTACATACTTAAGAACTTTTTGAAAACATGCACAACAGACTGCCTCTTTGCCGAGTGGTCGCAAGTGCGGCTGGCGGGCAAGGGGTCTCGGGTTCGAATCCTGGGACGGGCAAAGTATTACTGGGTTTTTAAAAATTCTCAGAGTCTGGAATTGTGCCCAGTATTTGGCAATAGGCTCACCCTCTAATACATGGGACTCATAACATAAATAGTGAAAAATGGGTGCTACATTGTACAGTGGCATTAAGTGTCGTAATGTGCACCTCTGCCTAACCCTTCGGGGATAAAAGGCGTGATGTTATGATGTTATGCTCTATTCATATATTTGCGTATATTATCTCAATTCAATTTATTCTATTTACTAACTAATATTAGAATGTATTGAAATCACGAGCGATACATGGACAGCTGTTTATATTCCCACGTTTATTAAGAACAATAAACAGATTTATTTATAGATGGAAAACTGGGAAATTAAATTATCGGGTACCTACTTTACCTTTTTCGTATTGAAGAATATTTATTCAAAGTTGATAAGAAGTACTTTATACGTTTCAGTTGTAAAGGTAGAAATAACTCATTTCAAACACAGATTGGGAACTTTTGCCTTGTTGTAAAACAAATTGAATGTGAGACTTTTAACTTGCATATCTTGGATGGTGGGATGCTCTGGTGTTGATGATCTCTTTATTGACAGTTTGACACATGTTTTCTTATTTAACTTTTTTTCAGGATTTTTACACATAGTTATTAATTTAGGTACATTAAACCAAATAAAATAAAGTTATTATTTAAAAAACGAAGAATTTAGTAAAACAGGTTATGTAAGAAATACTAAAATATTCATGATAATTACATATATGTAAAATACACACGCAGTTCTAATCAGAACATTATAAAAACCCCTTGAATGAGTTTCTGCATCCGAAAACAATCGTGGCATTGCCTGACTAGGTCATGACAAGACGATAAATAAATAACAAACACATCAGCATAGGAAATGTCTGCACAGACATTCGTCGCTCGATTATTTATGGAATTTAAAATGTGTTGCGGCATTCATGAATATGCTGGCAAAATATAGAGTGACACATGCATGGGTAGTACCTACCGTGCTTTGTTTTAGTTAAGGGATGAATAGAATAAGATAGCAGACCTGCAGGGCAGACAAAGTCACACATCACAGACTTTGGAAGAAGGCTTTACAACCTTATATTTTATTCATCCATTTCGGTTTTGTACGAATAGTTTTAAGAACAGATCGATCTAAGGCTTATATCGGTCTGTAGATTCTAAGCGATGTGTAACCGTTCATGGTTGCTTTTGTTCTCAACAATGTACTTGTCTTCTCGAAATTTATTAATGAGTTGTTTGTTGTGTGTCACCAGGTGATGCATCAACGATGAGTCGCCGCGCGCGGCCGTGACATGGGAGCGCAGGCATGGGCTGGCGCGCCGTGCAACCGCCGCACATCGCCGCCGGCTTGCTCCTACTGCTGCTAGTTAACCTGCCAGGTATCAATTCTTTCTAATTCACATTGTTTCTTAGCTTGCTTATTACTATTAGGTATTGAGAGTAAGTAATGTAACTTACTTCTGATTCTCGTTCATCTTCACCGAGAAGTATCTGTATTTAGCACGATAACAGATATCTATCATTTTATTTTTTTATCTTCTAAATGCAGTAACCTGCCACCAAGACCACCAAGATGCTGTGCACATCACGGCCATCCTCGGCGAGAGCGTGGTGTTCAACTGCCAGGTGGACTTTCCGGAAGACATCCCGGTGCCGTACGTGTTGCAGTGGGAGAAGAAGGTAGGCGAAACGGTACGACGGTCCACACTCCACTCTTACAATACAACGCTGCTCATCTACCGTGTGTGTGTTTCTGTTCAGTAGAGTTCGGCTCGTCCGCGCGACGCGCCCCGCAGAATGTAAAGTATATCTCGTGCTGTGTCGGCTCCGACACCTATATTGTCCCGTGCTAGTGGTAAAGCGCGGGCGCCGCGGGCCGGGGGCGCCGCCCCAGCGCCCTCGCCCCGCGTGCGCCCTCCGCACGCCTTTTGTGTATCTCTGCCTCTTCTGCGTATTGCCTCGTGTACCAACCGCGCTCGTCACAGACCGGTTCGACATACACCACAGTGATAAAGGCCTTCAAAGCGAGTCCGAGAGAGCAGCAGACCCCCGTTAGATAACGAACATACACATACACGCCACTTTACATGTACAATAAGATTTTTTCCTCGTATTATTTTATTTGGGTGCACCGTTCTTATTCTGAGATAGTATCGGCGCACCATCGCTTACACGGCTGACACGGGGCACGCGCACTCTCCGCGCACTGGCGGCGGTTCTGTCTGTTTCTCTCTTCCTGTGGCTGTGGGCTTCTCCCACGCTCTGTCGGCAATTGTAGATTCATGTACTACCTACCTGACATACTTCCTGTACTTGTTTCTCGTTACTCATCAAGTGACTGCACATTTGATCTCTTGCATGCTGTAGTGCTTCAGTTTTCCCGTTTTCACTTTTTGCATGGTACGATAATAAACTGTAACAAATTAAATATTGTTTAATGAAGCTTTTGTAATAACAATTTCTACATAATTTCGCTATCATACGAGTTCTTAAACAATGACTTGCGTGTAAATTAATGCAGAATAAACTTTCATCCGTTACTGTCTGTAGGTACACGTATGAGTCTCATAATGTATTATGGTTATCCTTGCATGTTTTAGTATTTTTCTTTTTTACTAAGTAGATAGATTTTTATCTTGTAACCGTAAAACAAAGTTACTTCCGCGTGCAAATGTGACCGGATTGCACGCCACGTTACAAGATTAAGCATCCGACTCTGCCCGTGTTTTGTGAAAACGCATCGCATCGCAACGTTTTGAACGCTTTAGACAGATTGGAAATGCGTAGCGCCAAAACCAGTTGTGCGGCGAAATGTATTTAGATCATAAGTATTTAGCTGTATGTAAGCTAAGTGGTAGCCGTAACAAGTTAGCACCAGCCGTGTGTCGGAGGCTAACATGTGGCTCTGTGTGTGTAGGGACAGGACATCCCGATCTACATCTGGTACGAGAGCTACCCGACGCACAGCGGCGAGGGTTACGAGGGCCGAGTGTCGCGCGTGGCGCCGGACTCACCCTACGGCGCGGCCAGCCTCAACCTTACCAATATCCGCGAGTCTGATCAGGTCCTTATTCTTCCAATTGTTAACTTCTCTCCATCGCAACTGCAAAAATACATATTGACATGATATTGTTCATCTTCCAACAGGGTTGGTACGAGTGTAAGGTGGTGTTCCTCAACAGGTCACCCAATCAGCATAAAAATGGCACATGGTTCCACTTGGACGTGCACGCGCCACCACGCTTCTCCATCACACCGGAAGACATTATTTACGTTAATTTAGGTAAGTCTATCTTTTTAAGTCCAACTACACATTCCAAATAAAGTTTTAATCACATGTTTGATCCATTTATGAACTCTACGAAACAAATGTGACCGAGTTTTTAAAATTTCCAGGAGATGCCATCATCCTCAACTGCCAGGCTGAGGGTACGCCTACGCCGGAGATCCTCTGGTACAAGGACGCGAACCCGGTGGAACCATCAGGAACTGTGGGCATCTTCAACGACGGCACCGAACTACGCATCAGCAACATCAGGCACGAGGACATTGGAGACTACACGTGTATCGCGCGCAATGGAGAGGGGCAGGTATCACACACCGCGCGGGTCATCATTGCTGGAGGTGCCGTTATCACTGTAAGTATTCTATGCTCTATACTGCTATATTAAAATTATTATATTAACTACGTTTCAAAAAATCGATTTCAAGCCCCCTTGAAGTCGATTTTTTGAAACGTAGTTAGTTAGTTAGAGGGGGGGCCCTCTGAAGTCCGTTATTTAAATGAATATACTATAACCTTCTCCTAAGTGTAACAAACACTTTTCTGAATACCGCATTGAAATCGGTTCAGCTAATTGCGAGATAATCCCGCACAACCCTACACACAGACATACATACATACAGATCAAACTGAGAACCGCCTTTTTTTGAAGTAATCAAGTATTTATTGCATCCATAATGTGCATATGTTACTAATTGTTACTAATATAAATACAATTAGCAACAATTATTGTATTTTAATAATTATTTAATAATTGTATTTTCAATATACAATTAGTAACAATTATGGACCCTGTCGGGCACAGCAACATTTACAAAAATTAACACCGTTATTTAAATCAGGTAGTACTTCTGACCCCACTAACTTTAGACCTATTTCAGTACTACCTTCATTTAGTAAAATTTTTGAAAAAATTATTCTAAATCAAATGCAAAGATTTTTTAATAGAAATAAATTGTTACATGCTAAACAGTTTGGTTTTACCAGGGGTCGTTCAACAACTGATGCCGGTGTTGAACTTCTTAATCACGTATATGACGCTTGGGAGGACTCAAGCGATGCTTTGGGCATTTTTTGTGACTTATCCAAGGCGTTCGATTGTGTCCTTCATGATACATTGATCAGGAAGCTATCCCATTATGGTATAAGAGGTAAATCTCTGGATCTTCTTACCTCATACTTGAGTAACAGGATTCAGAGAGTCGAGATAAACGGAAAAGTCTCCGCCGGGTCTGTTGTCAGGATGGGGGTTCCGCAGGGGTCAATTCTCGGCCCTTTTTTGTTTCTTATATATATAAATGACTTACCTTACCTCGTACGGGATAAACACGGGATAGTACTGTTTGCGGATGACACTTCGTTATTATTTAAACTTAAACGTAGACAATTAGTCATTGATAATGTGAACAATGCTCTCTCGGAAATAGTACGCTGGTTTAGTGCCAACAACCTATTACTAAATGGAACTAAAACTAAATGCATTAAATTTACAACACCAAATGTTGGACATGTTAAAACCAGCGTGCTCATTAAGGGTGAGGAGTTGAGCCCTGTAGATTCTACTGTCTTTTTAGGTATAACCCTAGACGCTAAGCTCCAGTGGGCTCCACATATAGATAAGTTATCGAAAAGGCTCAGTTCTGCAGCATATGCCGTTAAAAAAATTAGAAAGTTAACCGATGTAGATACAGCGCGATTAGTATACTTTAGTTATTTTCATAGTGTCATGTCATATGGTATTCTCCTATGGGGGAATGCTGCTGACATTCAATCTATCTTTGTTCTGCAGAAGAGGGCCATTCGATCAATTTATAATCTTAGTCCGAGGTACTCTCTCAGGGAACTATTTAAAGAAATAATATAATGACTGTTGCCTCTCAATACATTTATGAAAATGTAGTATATGCTCATAAAAACAAAAATTTATTTAAAAAGCATAGTGATATACATAATATCAACACGAGAAATAAAGACAAATATGTTGTTCCCACTACTAGACTAAAGAAAATAAGTGGTTCGTTTAGATGTCAGAGTATACGCTTTTACAATAAAATTCCCAGCCATATCCAAAATTTGAGTCTAAATAAATTTAAAAATGTCATTAAAGATAAATTTTATAGTAAAGCTTTTTATAAAATTAAAGACTACCTAGATGATAGTCTGGCTTGGGAATAAGCTGCTGTAACGTCCACACAGGTCATATTGACATGTTTGTAACATATAGTTACATTTCTTGACATTGTTTTACACATATTGTTCTAACTTGACATTTGCTTTTTCCTTTACAATTGTTAGTGCTAGGACCGTGCGAGACTTTGCCTCACCATTTCTTTTCTAATTATCCATATTCTGACGGTTTGAGTATTTGTGCGACCCACGCAAATGTTCTTTAGGTTGGTATTGTTCGTCGAATCAGTTAGCCTCACCTGTTAATAGAGCCGACTGTAAACCGACACATGCGTACTGCCTTCAGAACGGGTCCGCTCAAACTGTTGTGGTTCTTTCCTCAAAAGGCCACTACAGAAAAATCTTGCACGGTTCTCACACATAATCTATTATACATATTGTCTGGACTTTAAAAGAGACAGACCTCTGAGTTTGTTTCGGCATTTCTTCTCAGAGTAGTCAGTTAGGAAATGTCGACCTCATCGTTCGCTTGATAAAATTGACGTGTAAAAGTGCTGCCTTGTAGCCTATTTGCAGAAATAAATTCACTTGTTTTACTTGTTTCACTTGTTTCACTTATTGGTAGGAGAGAGGAAGGGCGTTTTGTTAGATTCCTATTATTATTATTTAAAAAATTAATTAAAAGAATTAATTTAAAAAAGGGGTATTAGACAATTGAATTATTGTAATGTATGAATGTTACTCAGTCGTTCTTTACTTAGTATAGAGGATATTAATTTTAAATCCTATATTAAATTTTTATTAAGTTTAGTTAGTATAGTATTAGGTAACTTATTTGTGTAGTTTATTTATATTATATTATATAATAATGTCTATTTTTTTTTTGCTTAGACTAGCTTGTCAAATGTTAACTGAACTGAGAACTGGTTAACAAAAGGAATAAAGCTATCGTGCAAACATAAAAGACAGTTAAAAGTCTTAATACAAAAATCAAATGACCCCGTTCTAACCAAATATTATAAAACATATGAAAAAACCTTTAAAAAATCTGTAGAAACTGCAAAGAAAATGCAATGAAGTCTTACTGTACGCGTCAAAAAAGCTAATTATATAGATTACTAGAATATTTCAACCCCGACCATGTAAACAACTATACAATATATTGAATAAATAGTCTTTACAACTTTAACTGTATATGGTAATCAGTACTTATTAAGGAATACGTCGTTAATGTAATTATTCTGAACAGCTTGTCTGTCGACAAAGGCTTCCATATATAGTGTAAATCCTTTTGTGACAGTGATAGTTCTTAAAAACATAACATTGTCTGCAGATGCCGCCAACAAACCAGACAAAGTTAGAAGGAGAGAAAGTTCAGTTTTCATGTGAAGCAAAAGCATTACCGGGTAATGTAACTGTAAAATGGTTCCGAGAGGGCGCGCCGGTAGCCGAGGTGGCAGCACTGGAGACTAGGGTCACCATCCGACGTGACGGAGCGCTCGTCATCAATCCTGTCGCTGCTGATGACTCTGGGCAGTATCTGTGTGAAGTGTCCAACGGAATAGGCGACCCGCAAAGCGCATCAGCCTATTTAAATGTTGAATGTGAGATTTTGTTACTTTCCACTACATTTCCGGATTATCATACTATACAAAGTGGTCATTATCTCTTGATGATGTTAACTGACGATACATATTTTCACAGACCCAGCGAAAGTAACGTTCACACCGACCGTGCAGTATCTCCCCTTCCGGCTAGCAGGAGTAGTGCAGTGTTACATAAAGGCGAACCCTCCCCTGCAATACGTCACGTGGACGAAGGACAAGCGACTGTTGGAACCTTATCAGACTAAGGATATTGTGATCATGAACAACGGTTCCTTACTGTTCACCAGGGTCAACCAGAACCATCAGGGTCGATATACTTGTACACCTTACAACGCACAAGGAACTCAAGGGTCATCTGGTTAGTCATTAACTGAGAAAACAACATAAATCTTATGCAACACTTTGTAGAGAGCAAAGACTAATGACAAATTTCTTTTGCAGGTCCGATGGAAGTTTTAGTTCGTAAACCACCTGTGTTCACAGTGGAGCCAGAACCGCTGTACCAAAGAAAGGTAAAATTATAAAAACGAGTAGTTTTGGGGATATTGATATGATTTATGGTAATCTAAGTATGACTGAGCTTCAGGATTTTTAACTTGATCAATCAATCATTTCAATCTGGATCCGTCCCCATCCTTAACCAAAGACTAACCATAAAAACAGATCAGTACTAAGCGTAAAATTAAAAAGACGGCTTGGACGCTTATTTGTTGCTTAAGTATCTTGCAGATACTACCTAGTAGCTAGTGTAGGGTAGAGCGAAGAGTCAACAAGGACGTTGGTCCCGGCAGGTGGGCGAGTCGGTGGAGATGCACTGCGAGGCGCAGGAGGCGGAGGGCACACAGCGGCCGAGCGTGACGTGGCGGCGCCGCGACGGCCTGCCGCTGCAGAAGACTCGCGTGCGCGCGCTCGCCGGGAACATCACCATCGACACGCTGCGCCGCCAGGACTTCGGCATCTACCAGTGCGTCGCCTCCAACGAGGTACGCATACACTCTCCGAACGGTCCATCTATCTATACTTCAATAGCTTGTCTCTAACCATGTACCCCTCATAAATTTGTCTTTATGATGTTTAGCTTTCGTTAGTATAGTGAGTAGTCTAGTTACAGACTGACCGTCTTGGCCGATTAGTTCATCGAACCTCATAACGGAATGTGCAGCCAGCACGATAGGTTTCGCCAAATTATTACTTTAGTAGAATTTTAACTTTATCGTCACTTACAGTCAGGTCAGATAGCAGCCTAGCGCCAACCTATACCATCAAAAAAAGACATTAGATACTTTAAAACAATAACGTGAAAATGTTGTTAAGTTTGATTTGGCTGATGTGTAACTTGATACGATTTCCTGTTGTTGCCAAAACTTATTTTTTATCACTCGACTTTATTTCTTGCTAAGATTATTTGATTGTAGCCTTATTAATTAAGTACTACGACACAATACGTAGGTGGCAACGATAGTAGCGGACACGCAGCTGGTGATCGAGGGCACGCAGCCGCACGCGCCATACAACGTGTCGGGCACGGCCACCGAGTTCCAGGTCACGCTGCGCTGGCAGCCAGGGTACGCGGGCGGGCCCGACTACAAGCAGGACTACACCATCTGGTACAGGGAGGCAGGCTTCTCCGAGTGGACTAAAGTCCCCGTTACTCCCTCTGGTGCTACTTCTGTGAGTATCCACCCTTTTACAAAAAATCCTAGATAGTCTGCAGTTCTTAGTGTGGCTACATATTTGACAGAAATCGGGCAGCACTGGTCTCTAATAAACTTGATCCTCCCCAATCCATTTGCTAAGTGTAGCATAGCGATCGTGATTAACCCTCTTTTGTATCGGAGGCCCATTAGCTCAGTAGAAGGCTGTTGTCATTTCATTTGGAATGCATAGTGCAGGGTACCTTCCAACTCCGTAGCGTCGTGATATCTACAAAGCAAACTGGCAAAGTGACTGGCAAAGTATGTAAAGTCAAAATATCGAGAGTAACACACTTTTCACAATTTTTTTTATGGCATAAGCCGGTAAACGAGCAGACGGATCACCTGATGGTAAAGAATCGGCGTCGCCCATAGACACCTGGAACACCAGAGACGTTACAAGTACGTTACCGGCCTTTTTGGAATTAGGAGTTTGAGGATCGTTGGGGATTCAGGATTCGGGGAGATTAGGGGAAGGGGAGGGTAATTGGGCCTTCGGCAACCTCACTCACACGGCAAAACACAACGCAAGCGTTGCTTCACGTCAGTTTTCTGTGAGGCCGTGGTATCACTCCGGTCGAGCCGGCCCATTCGTGCCGATGCATGGCTTTCCCACAAAAAAATCTCGTCGTAGTTTCGTAGTAAGTGTACGGCGTAGAGTATGCGCCGCGACCCTACGACTTACTACGACACCACTTGAGCGTATTCTAATCGACGAACGGGTAATTTTCTTTAGTATTTTGATAAGTCCAAAAAAGCTTTTTAAACTGTCAAACACCAAGCGGTCACCGGTGACGGCGACCTATTGTTCTTTAAATGTGTCTATAAAACCGGTACTCGACGAGTTAAGTGTGTAATTAATTTTATTTGAAGCACGTCACTGAGCACTGTTTTCAGCTCTTCGCATCCAACCATTGCATTGCCAGTCACCTTGCGGATCATCAGTAATCATAAATGTTATTTTCACTCAGGTCACAATAAACCGACTGCAACCTGGAACCACGTACGAGTTTCAAGTGAACAGTAAGAATACGATAGGAGAAGGAATGATGAGTAAAGCTATTACAATAAGAACTCTTGGTAAGTGCTGCAATGTATTTTATTTCATATGTATGTGGTGGGATTTAACATGAGGATTAATATTAATATTGTGTTAATAAATATGTATTGGTTATGGATTTGCTTTACAACTTTTGTTTGTACAAGAGAACAATTGTTTTAAAGAAATAAACTAACATTATGTCGGTTTAGTTGGAGTTAGAGGTGGGTCCTATAACTTGAGATTGCCTTTTTAGATGTAGGCGCCAAGCCGAAGGCGGCACCCACTCCGGCGGGGCCGGTAGACGAAAAGATATTCCAAAACGCACCCGAAGGCTCCGGTATATACACACAAATGTTGCACAAACACATTAACATTATATCACCATTCACGATCTTCTCATATCACCATTCTTTGAAATGTCTTTCGAATAGACTCAAGTAATCATAGATGTTAACATGTGTTGGCGTACGTAGTTCGTGCATGGTATTGACATATTGTTTTAGTTGAGTTCACTGTATCGTATAAATGTAGTAATCATTATAATAATTGCATGTTTAAACAAATCACCTTCAACTTCACGTAAATTTAATTTTCATATAAAGTTTATTTAACTTCGAATATTTACGTAAATGTAGCTTTTTACACATACTGTTTTCGTTTTTTTTTTTATTATTATATATTAATTCTTCACGGACTCTTGGTCCGTGCCCTTGTCATACATTTTATTACTTATTGTTTTCGTTTATATACATCTTCTATATGCATAACACTTACCATAAAATCATCTTATCTATTATCATTTTACTGCAGCACCTCACTATTGTCAGTCATTCAGTCTTTCTTTTAATTCATGTACATATGCAGTACCGGATTAGCGCAAGCAAGGATAGCCGCACATTAGAGGGCATATACAAAGAGGGCCTCTTAACATACCCCGATTTTCTTAAAGTATTATTTTAATTAAATGTAATGAAAATCGTGAGCCTCTCACGTAATACAATTTGCTACAAATCCGGCATGCTTCATCCGTCACTGCATGTGCAATATGTGTACCAATATCTAAGACGGCGTGGTATTTAGGTCCGAAGTCAGGTCCGCCTCGCAACCTGACGGTGACGGAGGTGCACAATGGGTTCCTGATCACGTGGCAGGCGCCGCTGGAGCGCTCGCATCTAGTGCAGTACTACACCATCAAGTATCGTACCGACGCGCAGTGGAAGACCCTCAACCGAGGACAGATACGACCCGAGGAGACCAGCTACTTGGGTAATAATTAACGCTAATATTATAAAATTTACACTTTCTTCCTTTCTCCCCATCATCAGATCAAAACGTCATCTTATCACAGACTCCTTTTTTTATACACAATTTATCCATTAAATAAATTTATGAAGCTAATTTAGTCGATAAAAAATAAATAACTTACTCTTCTAAAATAACTTTAAATACATCTTAACTTAACTGTACTAGATAAATTCCCAAATTATTCTATGATATATTTTGTACTTGTAATCTAAAATACGTACCTATATAGACCGGAATTTGGCTTAACTTAGACTTAATCAGATCATGAGAACAGTGGAACAAACAAGCAATAATAATACAATTTCAGTGAAGAACCTGGTCGGCGGTCGCACGTACTACTTCCGCGTGCTCGCGAACTCGGCGACGAGCTACGAGAGCTCGGAGGAGGTGAAGTTCCCGGTGCCTGCGCGGGTAAAGCACAAAGCGATCACGGCGGGCGTCGTCGGCGGCATCCTGTTCTTCATCGTGGCCATCATCCTCTCCGTCTGCGCCGTCAAGATCTGCAATAAACGTAAACGACGTAAGCAGGAGAAAGGTAAGACACGCACCGCGGCCGCTAGTCCGCTACCGGCGCTAGTACTTCCCGCGATCTTGATCAGCACTAGCTTCTACGGAACTTCCTAATGACTTCACTACAACTTGCTAGTTACAACACTATTAAAAAGAAAATGTACATTAACTCTATAATTCTTGAAATAATCATACCTACACTTAACTTGACCTTATACACAGATTTTAACACTATAAATAAGAGTACCTATAACATATATTATTTGGTTATGAAGGTCATAACACGGTTTGCTATGTTGGTATCGTACAAAACTAAATACATTTACCCATAGCTCTGAAACGTGATGTACGTACTAGTGGAGTTCACTTGAACCAAACGTACTGAGCAACAATATTGCCAGTAGTATGGCTGTGTGTGGTATAAGTAACCAAGTTCCTTTGGCTCTTTACATAAATAAAACATTTATCGCAGTTAGGCTTCCTTACATAACTTACCATATTGTCGGCAAATTACATATTCGTTCGTGTATTATCTGCTTATTTCATACACATTGACATTTCCTTTCGAAGCTTTTTGCATGCCTTTATATTTATGTAAATTAAGCATTTTAGTGTTAACAGTAAGGTAAGAATAAGTGTAGTAAACTAGACAAGAATCTACTCGTTCACTAGAACATTTGTTTTGAAATATGTATCTATAACTACGACATGAATTACTTCCTTACGATGTATTCCTGACTGTACCGCAAATGAGATACATAAAAAGGCTCGATATAGGTGTAAAACATGTACCTACCTAATTATATTTTGTCAAATATGCTTATACAATACAAATTTGTCTCATAGACGTCGCTAGTTCGCTGTTATTACTTTTCCTATAGGTGCTTAGACTCTTAACTGAAATGTATGGAATAAATGTACTTTATATATAAACAATAGATAGCAGTGCTTATAATTTTGTGTTATGCATGTCTGGGCACATTATGTTCCTACCTGTGTTTATTACTGTTTATCCATATTCTCGTCTGTTGCTCTCGTACTCACGAGGACATCCCATTACTGCATAGTTTCATCGCTCAACGTACACTGGAATGAACCACTGATTCTACGAAATTAACTCATAATTGAAAAGCAGTATAGCGTTTGCTATTTGATAGCTTTATTTTATTTACGAACATCATACAACTAGAAGCAGAGTAGTGTCCATTCCAGTGGTGGTTGTGTTTGGTTGACAATATGGTGGGTGGTGGCGGGGGGAGGTAGCGTGGGTGGCGGGCGGCGACCGTGGCTGGGGCGGGGAGGAGCACCACTTCACTACGTTAATGTTCAGAAATTATTCGATTGCAGCATACAACATGGTAGCCGCGCGACTGACAGATCTCCGCGCCGCTGATAGCACTCAAGTGCCTTTTAAAAAGTAAGTAACTGGCCAAATGCACTTGATTATAATATAACGCAATTAATTGACTTATTTTGTGCTGTCGATCAATTCTAACTCTGTACTCACTACATTCACGCTGCTTAAAACAGGAAATCAGGTTAGTTGTCTGAAATCTCTTTTATTTATGCTACTGTGATGTTAAGAGTAAGGCTAAATCAATATAACTTCTGTTGGCACAGATTTAGAGAACGCGGAATATCGAGTATAGTTCAATGTTTGCGGTTCACTGCAAACTGGGTGTGGCCAGCGTCGAGATGCGGGGGCTCGGTGCGGTACTGGGCGTCGGCGCGGCGCGTGTCGGCGGCGCCGTCCGGCTCGCCGGCGCCCTCGCTGGCGCCCTCCTCGTCCGACGACGGCGGCTTCCTACCGCGCCTCCGAGCACCGCTGCGGCCATCAGCCGCGCCGCCGCTGTTCCGTGCGTCGTCGCCGGCGCTGGCGCTGCACTGGCCGCCGTGGCCGCCATGGCCCCCGTGGGCGGCGGCCTGGACCCCCTGGTCACCGTTGCACGTATCTGACCTCAGCTCCGTGCCCTTCCCGAGTTCTGCCGACGGCTCATTTCCCACGCCTCCTTCTCCATTCCGCCTCAGATCGCTACGACAGAGCGCTCACGACCCGCTCCGCGCCGCTACCGGCCCGCTCGCTAGACCCCGCGCCCGACCTCTGCCGCGGCACGCTCGGCCGCGAGCAGTAGCGGACTTGCCGCCGCCTCCCCACGAAGCATCGCCCGAGAGTCGGTCCTCATCCAGCGGGTTCGGCAGTAAGAACGCGTCGTCCTCGCAACACAACCGCAGCAGCAGGACCGGCAGCCTGGCGGAGTGGCGGCCGCCCCCGTACCGGCCGCCGCCGCCGGCGCCGCCGCCGCGGCCCGGCTCCGGCGAGGCGGGCGACGCGGGCTCGGTGGACGTACACTACGAGTGGGACCGCGCCACGCGCACGCCAACTCCCTCGACTCCGGAGCGCACGCGCGCGCGCCCTTCGCGGGATGACGTGGAAGCTCGAGTGCGTGCTATGAAGGAAGAGTTCCTCGAGTTCCGTAAACGCCAGGCGTTGCGGCGTCGCTCCCCGGAGCCTCTGGCGCCGCCCCCGCCGCTGTCGCCGCTGTCTCCGCTGTCGCCGCTGGCCGCGCTGGCTCACTCGCCGGCCGCGCCCGCTGAGACTGTCTGCTGACCTTCGAGCTGCCGATCATTATCGAGCGACAAGCTTTCAATGATCGCCTTGCTCCCCACCGACCCAATTTCGTGAATGCGCTTCAAATATGTACAGATTTTAATGGAGCAATAAGTATTTAAATTCCGAATTTACTTCAGCAAATATTTAATTATTATTTGAACTAATACTTTAGCTTGAGCAACCATACTGAATATCGGGCAGGAACGTTGAACGACAATCAAATACAGCAGTCGGTAAATTTTCATTATTTATTAGGTAGAGCCCAATGACCTACGAAACGGGGGCTATTTGGAAGTAGATATTGATTTGGTACGTTCACTGTTTATGTAGTGTTAAAAGATCCCACCAGGTCACTGGCGTTACGACCACGCCGCCGGTAACCATTATTATAAATATAGATACTTAGGAAATGATGACTTAAGTCGCACAAGAATATATGCGACTGTAATAATGTACGTATAAAAAGTGGATGCTGTGACGGTTCTTGGTCGCACTGTCTGCTTTCCTATCTGATAAAATATGTCAATTAATTGTTCAAGGCAAACGCACTCACGGCCTTTAATAACTATGTGGCAAGATGAAAACCAACACAAACAAAAACACGTGACTGTATTTGAACTACGTGTCATGTACAAAGCCACAAGACTAAAGTAACCTACGCAACAACAAGTGGTCACTGTGAACCGATTGCTTATTGTTTGGTCGAAGCCGTATATTTATATTGTTTTATAATTACGTGAAGCAGTAATGTGCGGCGGGCAGGCAGTGCGAGAGACGTTCACCTTAACGCTTTAGGTATGAGCGGGGAAGCATCCACGACACCGCTCATACCAACATTATATTGTAGTTATTATTGTAACTAATTACGAATAACGATTTACTAAGAGCAGCCGCGACTGGTGGCCGAGCACGCCGCGGCCACGCGAGCCACGCGCGCCGCGTCTCGCCCGTCAGTCCCGGCTGCTCCTTTATAATATACAACAAAATAATCATTAAGTAGATTTAGAAATAATTTAGATTGATACAAAACGTATAAACTCAGTTTTGTTTCACATTTTTAAATGAATTATTATTTTAAAAGTACAAATTTATTTTTATTAATTTTATTTATGTAGTTACAATAATTTAAAAGGAACAACTGTACATATGTAAAAACATATTAGATATTATACTTATACATTTATTTATTTAGGTGTGGTGTGGTATGATTGAGGTTCTGAAGAACTGTTTGCCGGTGTTTGTGACTACTTGTGAGGCACTACACACTGTTGCCATTAGACACTGCCGACTAGGAACTTCCCACGTTTATATTAAGAACATATTCCCTTATATTGATGACTAAACTTATTTATTTATTCTTGTGTGGCTGATGATGACCTACCTGATACAACAATGCGACTTGATGTGTCAATGCCCAAAGTAATTCGCAAAGGTTCAGTCAATTGTTTTCGACTTCATTCAAATGATGTTATGTAAGATTTTTTTTTAAATTTTATATGTGATTGTTTTTACTATTTTTACAGTCCGTTACGAGGTATTAAATTGGGTTTATTATTTTACAGAAATAATAATACAATTTACGTATCGGTTCCTTGAGTAATCCCACCTATGTAGTTGACCAGTCAAAACCAAGACTGTTTAGTGTTATGTTCGTTATTAGGTTTACTTATTGTGTCAAATGTGCTCTTAGATATTTCCTTGCATGCACGTCGCACTTTTTGTACCTATTGTTTGTAACGCAGAATTTTTTTAATCGAATATCGAGTTAAGGACCTCCTAAAATAAGTATAAAAATGTACGCTTTAAAGAAATTGGAATAAATTACTCATAACAAATAGATAGGTAGGTATGATAAGGTGTAGTTATTTATGTGCGTGCATGGAAGCGTCTGGTACGGAGGAATACGGCGCGTGGCGTCGGCGGGCACGCAGCGGACACGCGGCGTGCCGTCCGCACTGAGTATTGTTACGTCAAGGACAGCGAACAAGCGCATCATTAGTTCACTGCTGATGACGGTGTAGACTTAAGCTACGTATAACGACACAATAGATCCTTGTTTTTGTTATATTTTTTACTTGTTCTCTAACTTCCGCCATAGCATACACTTAGAATATTAGGATCGACGATATGTGCAATAAAATTATCCACAGTTCCATAATGACTTTGTAATATGTTAAAATAATTATGTATGTATGTATAATATGCTCAATAATTTCGACTGACCAACTGTAAAAATATTACTTATTGGTAAATATCGAAGTCACTATTGTTTAATTTCGATTTCATTATGCTTTCGTATAGAATGCAATTGAAGAAAATGGTAGAGTAATGCAAACAGATATTGCTGGGCAAGCTTACTTTGTGGCCGTGTGGCCAGCACTAGTGCAGGCGCCTAATTCGTAATTCTTGTTGTTTTATTGACCGTGGCGGGCATATCACGAAACTATAAAGTAATAGTCTTGTTTTTACAAGTTTCACCTTTTGTACTTATAGAATTGTAAATATTTGTTTTGTTGATTTGATGTCATCGCGCGAGTGATACAAGCGAGCACGGATGATGTATCGCACACAATACGTAGGTGCACGACTACATTCGAGTAGTATGCGTAGGTTTTATATTATAATGCCTAAATCACTCGTTTAACTGAAATTATATTTAAATGCGATCATTGTAACAACCACCAAGACTTGAAATTCAATTAACGTGAGCTGTTCACAACGTATGTACCTACTTAGGTATTGTTTTGACAAATTTATTATAATTGTACGTACAAGAGTAAGAAACAAGAGTAATATATACATATAGCTCAAACCATGTGATATCTAGTCTTTTCCATTATAAAATTATCCTTCCTTTACATACTAAAAATTTCATTAAAATCGCATTTTCACTTATTTAACCTTTACAGATAATTTGTATATCTATGACTGCCTTCTAATTGTCTGAGAACTGTGAACTCTATCGATATCATAGAAAGACACAAGTAAGCCCACTGTCAAAGCACTTGCATTTCTTCAACGGTCTACACACTCAATTTTATCGTCCAATTATTTCATAAACCTAAGTGAAGGCTAAGAAGTTACTGCATTGCTGGATAAATAGCCCAAACATCATTCGACATTCTCTAGACTAAAATGAAAAAGATAGCAATATATTAGATTAATGTAACTAAATCGTATGTATCAGTTTGTATAAAGGAAAGTAAGTAAACGAAGTTATTGCACATTGGCAGAATGTATTGCGGTGAAACAGGGCACCCAAATATTAAAAACTTAAGGCATAATGCACAATATCTCAGCACAATAAGTGATATTATAAAATACTCGAATCTTCAAAATATCATACTGAGCACTTTAACTGTTACTCCAACAACTCCACAATAAGTTCGCCTCGATTGAAACAAAATATGCACGAGCAACATTTTTATAACTCGAGTAAATATCCATTTTCATTTATAGAATATTTTTAGTTATAAGTGTTGAGATCATGTGTTTACTGTGTAAGCACAAAAAGGATTCAATTCAAAAAAATAAAATACAATAACGTTGCTATGATTATATGGTTGTATTATTTTTACCTCAATCTGAATAGCTAAGTCCCTACTTAGTAAAGAACCTAAATAAAATAATTGTTATACATATAACCTTCTCAATATTCGGTAGGAATGGTGCAAGCACAAACCGTAAGGCCTGAAGAATATCGAAATTGAAATTAAAAACCTATCTAGTCTAGGAACCTATATCCATCAGAACATCCTCTTATCAACAACCTGCTTGTGACTAGAATAGAGCTCTAGACAGAACCACCCACCCGCGGGATATCACCAATAATTCACCAGGCCACAAAGTAGTCAGTAGTCAAGCCTGAAAAGGATGCACAACGGTACATAATTATTAGAAATAAGTATCTATACTTATAACTATACTACCTAAACCTACGCGTCTAATTTTTTCGTCCCTCGCAAAGATCAATATAGCATTTTCAGATGGAAAGGTAGCTAGATAACTATTATGAGAAAAAAAATTCAGAAGCCTCTACTAACACAACATTTGCTATCCTGTGTTTGTAAAAAAGTAAGTAGATACGTAATACGTGAGAGATAAAATTCAAAAACATGGCTTGTGATAAGACAATTATCCATATATTTCCTGGATAGCTAAGAATAGTCCAAATTAGTCTAAGCTAGAACGCCAACGCATACACATCGAAATGATTTTCAAACTGGCAATTGTATTATCTGCATTAGCAATAGGTAAAATTGTCATTCAGTTGTATTTTACCTAAAATGTTTTTGTATATTTATGGTACAAGTCTTGGTAAGGTCTATTAATTAAAAAGCCCTGTTCGTATTTGGATTTTTGTGACACCCTACTCCACATGAACTTAACGTACTACTACTGTATTGGGGTAGCAGTTATAAAAAACAATTTTGTTTTAAATTTCTATATTAACTCACGTTTTAAAAATATTTGTTACAGCGCCTGACACATTCGCTCTTGCATATACAAACGAACAGGGGCCCGAGTACGGAGAAGAATGGATTTATTTCTACGATGACAATGGAAACACACATATGATGAATTTCTCTATTCTACCACAAGAAACGCGGGGAATAATTTTCGGAGATGCTTATTATTATTTATACACAAGGTAGGTACTTATTTTCAAAATAACAGAATCCGGGTACTGCTAAGTCGAGTAGGTGAAAATGAAAATTGAAAACTCGAATAACGTGGCACCACACCACAGGTTTATCTTTTATAAGGAACCACTTTTAACTAGGTACGAAAATATTTTCATGTAAAATATTGCAAAGATACATAGACTATTATAATATACATGCATATAGTAATATAATAATATATGTATATGCATACACCGAAGTTAAATTATATGTCACAAGACCTTAAATGCCCATTCCTAAACCTCTAAGCCCTAGTTTCACTCTTTAAGTTCCGGCGAAGTACTACAACCGTAGCACGCAGCTCGTAGCTCGCATATCGTAGCGCGTAGCTCGTAGCTCGCAGATCGTAGGGCGTAGCTCGTAGCTCGTACCATGTAGCACGTAGCGTAGCGTTTTCTACTAAATATAATAATATAGCACGCATTCAAATCGAACACTTAAATGGCGACGGATATTACAAAATTAATAGCGGGATAACTCAGCTACGCCCTACGAGATACGCGCTACGGTCTAGTTGTAGTATTTCGCCGCAATCGAAGTGAAAATTACAAATGAAAGAAAGTTAACAGGTTAAAAAAGTGGCTACACGTTTTCCGTAAAAGTATGTACACATTGGTTGTCAAGTTATTCGAAATCCTACTGAATGTTCAAAATTTAGTTATGGAGTTAGAATATGGTATGATAGGTTAATACGTAGGTCCTTGAATATTAAATAAGCTATTACAATTCATTTATGTTTTAGACGTAACACGGAAGCGGAGCAGTTAAACGTTTCCAATAGCGTTGGAAAATTTACAAGCAAATACTTTAACTCATCTAACGAAATAAAAGTTGTAACACATGGTTGGATGTCTGCAGAAAATGTGGATTGGCTTCAGAGAATCAAAGATGATTTCTTAATCAAATCCGATTTCAATGTCATTACCATAGATTGGAGCGAATTGTCTAAAAATCCAATATATCCGTGGTCTGCGTTTAGTACTAGATATGTTGGTAAAAAAACCGCTAAACTATTAGATGCCATTGCAAGAACTTATGGCGTAGATGGCAAGTCCATGCATTTGATAGGTCATAGTTTAGGTTCTCATGTTATGGGGTATACGGGTTTATTTTCGAACCAAAAGATACATAGAATCACTGGTGAGTCTCCTAAAATGTATACATGATTTACACTGCACTACTGACATGCGTATCTAAATACTGTAGTCTCAAACTTGAACTACGACTATTTGTGGTCCACCTTTCACAATACTCAATAACTGAATGTCAATGGCGAAAGTAGGCAGTAATTTATACAATCGTTTCATTTCTATTGAGCTCTCTAAACTAGGAGGTACGTAAAAGTAGATACCTACCTAGTCTACTAACCTACAATGCACCCATGTTCCAGCTGTTAGGTATGTTACCTATTAGTTTGTTGTGTAGTTAGAGGTCGATTCTCGAAGCTCTATGAGGAAAAAATACGAATAGGACAAACGTATTTGGTTGTATATTAAGCTTTATTCATGTTGCCTGGCCACATATCAGCATCTGTAGTTGTACAATAGAAAAGACGGATCTTTGGTTTTACTGATCTACTTTCATGATCACGCCACGCTGTCATCTAACTAAAATCACTCGACACAATCACTATATTTTTTTTATAAATAAGAAAGAATTTAATGCCTCAAATGCTCCTCAGGTCTGGATCCTGCTCGACCTCTCTTTGAACTTCCATTAATGCCACCAAATTGTCGTCTAGATAAAAGTGACGCAGAATTTGTAGACATTATTCATACCTGTGCTGGAATTTACGGGTATGCAAGGAGCCACGGGCATGCTGATTTCTATGCAAACAGTGGGCGGCCAAAACAGCCTGGTTGTGAAGGGATACAATCGGTTATAGGTACTACACAATTCATTATTAAGATTTTACTATTCAAAACCAAAAGATGACATAAAATTCATATTTTAGAGGGTTGCAGCCACGGGCGTTCAAATCTGTACTTCGGGGAATCGATAGACTCGAAAATTCCTTTTACTTCTTATCCATGTGAAAGTTGGGACAAGTTTGAGAATGGGGAATGCAAAGAAAACCCTGCAAATATGGGATATCCTGTTCCAACAGATATTCAAGGAGACTATTATCTTCATACAAATAGTGAACCAGAATTTGCAAGAGGTGATGAGTTCTAGTACATTGATTTTAAACTGTCAAACACCAAGCGGTCACCGGTGACCGCGACCTATTGTTCTTTAATTGTGTCTATAAAACCGGTACTCGACGAGTTAAGACAAATAAAATTTTATATAATGTTTATTTTTTTTATAAAAAAAATAGAAGTATTCTTTTCTGCATCTGGCCCTTGACCCAACCATCTAACGCTAGCCTATTCAGTTGGTTGAGGCTTTTAGTTATGAGGCCATTACTAGATACGACTATCGGTACAGTGATTGCTGAATCCACATCCCATACGTCGATAATCTCATGAGATGGATAAAAATATTTACTTGCTTTATCGTTTTCAGCACTTACGAGATTCTCGCCATGAAGAGACTCGGAATTGTTATATCAATTACCATTGTGCGAAGGCTTGATCGATCTATCATCACAATGTCAGGTTTGTTAGCAACAATTTGTCCTGTCTGTGATGATAGTCCGATCCCAATAAACTGTGACATCTCTATTTGCATACTTATGTTAATATGAAATATTTATATGAAGGTATAATAATATGCATTTATATTATAAATTACTTCATGGATTTGAAAATGAAACCATTTCTTAGAGAAACAATATGTATATTAAGGTAAAAATAATACAGTCTTTAACTACGTATTTAAAAATCTTACTGTGTTTTCTCTATTTCTAAACATTTCCCATTTAAGTAACCTTAGAATATGACCTAATCTACAGAGATCGTGTGCCTATCACCAATGATATGCACGGTAGTAGATCAATCACTTTTAAATGTTTACCAATACTATGCTATACTTAATATGGTCCTTACTGTAGTTTGTAGTATCATTGAAATCAAATATGAAATAACGATGAACAAGAATAATAAGTACTTATAAGTAACGATCATATACCTATTTTGAAAAAAAAAGCAGAGAAATATTTACAAATACAAGAATATTGTTTCTTGCAACAATACATCGTGCAATAAAATATTATGCTTCGCTAGCAACAACTGTAATAATGAGAATGCAATAAAATAACAAATAATTTAGTTTTTAAAGCTGCACTTCCTCTCTTCATTAGGTCTGCAACAAACAAATTTTATTGATATTAGTATCTCAATAGAACATAAGTTATTGTTAACAAAACTTAAGGTTTATCAGAACATTTTAGTTATACGTCATTATGCCTCAGTCGGGAAAAGAAGACAAAATAGTAAGAATCATCATGAACACTTTCAAAGTAAATTAAATAATAAAATCACCAATATTACCTACATTCCAATAGCGTGTAGTGAGATAGATAATGTTCTCGAGCGCTAACACCGCGAAGCCAAAGGCAGCCAATGCACTGAAAAAATTGAGCTCCTTTAGATTCACGTCACACATTTGAAAAGTAACAACTTATTTTTAAAATATCAGATTTTAATGGTTATGCTTCAATATGCATCAGTCGGGAAAAGAAGACAAAAATAATGAATCATCATAGTATATCCCAAGTTTATCGCAAAGCATAATTCAGTAAATGGTAAAAAGCATACATACCTCGGGCATAAATCATCTTTCAGTTGACTATAATATTGTTAAGGCTTGTATCCTGGTCATCTGAAATGAAGAAAAATAAACATTCAGTTTTATTGAACATGGTTCATCAGTCATCGTGCGGGTTATGGTAACAAATAATTCATAATGATTATAATTAAAATCTTTGAATGCTTATACTTTATTTTCAAAACATAACTAATATATTTGAAAATATTAATTGTTTATAATTACCAGAATATATGCCGGGAGATGTCTAACTAAAAACTGAAACCTGTGAACATAACAATATTAAAATTAGTTTTAAATTTTATACATTTGCGTTTTTAAAGTACTGGTTTGTTATAAAATTTCCATAACTGAAGGCATCTCGAAAATAAAATTTATGATTTTCAAATAATTATAATCATTTTAAATTATTAGGTATATAATAACAACTAAATTCAGTCAGTATACTTTTGTTGGTTATTGATTTATCTTAGGGATTATTAACAACTAGTGAATTACAGTCTTTGTAATTGTTATAAATTAGAGATGATTTTCAGTTGAATTAATAGCTAAGCTAATTTCTATGGAGACAGTATTATAGTTTTCTAGGATATGTGGAATTGAAAATAAAAACTTTAAATACTGAAGTTGTATATAATTTACTGATGTAATTTTGTAGCCATAGTGTTCATGGTAATGGTAGTTAGATAAATAAGTAATAGTTAAGAGAACACATCAATGTGCAACACTGCAATCAGAATCAGTTTTAAGAGTGTACATGAACTATTTGGCTTAAGTTTAAACTATTATCAATTTGATGTATCACGTACAGATCACACATCATACCGATTATCTTCAGTTTATGAAGGATGCTGATCTACGGAAAAACATAAGAAATTAAGAACATTCAGCATATGCGGATTCCTTAATGTCCGTACATAAACATTTCAATGCTGACAATATAAACCCAATGCATATGCTTTGCTCATGGATGTTCACTGTTACTCGTAAAATATCTAACGTATCTAAAATATTATATCTTTATTACTTATTATACCTACAAACACTTTATTAAAAACTTGTTAAGCGAATGTGAGTACCAGTACAAACCAGCTGTGGTTTTGGTGCACAAAAAAATTTATTAAACTGTACTGAAATGTAATAATAAATAAATAATAATGTAGATTTTGTTGTAAAATATACCGTGAATTTGATGTGTGAACAAAGGGCTAATAAAATATGGTTAATTTTGCTTAGCTAAAAATCTTGTAAATCAATAGTTTGTAAACAGTTTGTTCACATAATAATAAAGTATAATATGTAGTAAATTTCAATTCCGTAATCGATAGGCATTATAGCGAAAATCCGCGCGGCGCGACCGGAGAGGCGTCTAGCGACTGAAACACATAGAAATGTATGCCCGCGAAGCGGCGACCGCCAAAATGTATGAATTGCACAGTTTGCTCACACATTGCTAGTCTTGTAAAAGTTAGAACGAATATTTTTGTATGAAGTCCGTAACCTGCGGTAGCCAACATTCAGAAAAACGAAAGTTCATTAGGATTTTATGATTGATGGTTATCTTTGTTTTTTTATGAGGTTCGCTATAATCGGTTACGAAACCGTCAGAAATTGAAGTTCTAAGTTTCGACTCTTATAATGGCGTACTCTGAGGTCGCGGCGGCGAACGCGTCTGGCCTGCAAACGCCGCCGGGCAAATAGTCCCGTCGCCCACCGCTCCGCCAATCCTCGTGGCCAGGCCGTAATGTCGAAATATTTTGTTTCTTCAGCCAATATGCCTATGGCATTTTTGTTTTCTAAAATCAGATTACATCATACATCACAGGTCAATAAGTGAGCACGTATAACTGCTCTAAAATGAAAAACTTAGAATGCATTAAAATGGCATATCTCTCGATAACTCTTCATAAATTTCAGAAAGCTGTTATTTTATTTTCATAAATTTGCTACCGCTAAAGAGTTTTTTTACATATGATTACAATTAATTCGTTAAAAATCTGTCAATGAGATAGCAAACAAAATTAAAAAGTGACGATTAGCACAAATTTTATTGCTGTAAAATGCAACCCAGAAAATGGATAACAACAACAAAAAGACTAAAAAAGATGTCTTCACCAAGGCCTAATACCTAATATTCTTTATATGTAGTTTAGATTGCAAAAAAAAGTTTATTAACGACCGTCTGGATTTAGCGGTAATATTAATCAGTTTTTTTTCTAGCTTAGTTCTAAATACAGCTTAGAATCGTCTAAATCTACAACAGGTCATTCATAAAACCGGGACCGTGAAGACATTTTCAATTGAGTCTTAACTTACCAGGTTCGTTACTCAGAGAATGCCGTTGAATGTCAGACAGATATACAAGGCGTCTTCCTGAAGTAAATGTGGTTTCTTTCTTATTCTGTTCTTCGCGTAAAGCTCCAATCCTTTTTGAGGCTAAATAAAAAATATTAAGGCGTGCAGGCAAACTACCACCTCAGTGTTTACCAGTGTTTTACATATAATACAACAAATTACAACATGACTGTAACCTCAAAAGGTAAAACATCAACATACAAAAAGTATCGGAAGATGTGTGTAATTAATTGAATTAAGAATTGCACACAGGGACTTTTACAGCGCAATAGATATCTCGCCTCGAAAAAAAATTCAAGTATTTGAGAATGCAGTTTTAAGCCTGCGGACTGCGGAGGGTGGGTATGATGATATAGACGATGGAAAAGAATCCTCACGAGACCAAATTCCTAAATATTATTTGTTTCGTTCCATATTTTGTACACCAATCCCATATTAATGTAAAATCCATTTAATACATTGATGTTCTTATCGATAAACGGGCACTTTACGAAACATGAAAAGTTTGTCGATCCTGAAGCGTCAGAAAGAGTAAATATGTTTCGAGATAAATGTTGCAATCAGTAACATTGCTCACATAGATACCTTTTAATTAATTACAAAAGGTGAAGAAAAATCTCCAAGAATGAGAATGGATTAATTAATACAAAACAACAAAGGTTTATTCCAGGGATTACTCTGAACTGATTTTGTTCTTTTAATATATTATTTTATAAACTTATTTAAATATCAGGAAATAAATAATGATACCAGCATCGCCATACCCAAACTGGAAGACTTCATTGTTGTCATAATTGGGTAAATCAAAATCCACTAAAATACGTACACCCTGACAAGATTAGAATAAAAGACGAAATATCAACTCATAGTGGTCTAGTGATAGGTACTTGTGCCTTTAGATGTAAAAAATATTTTTTAAGTTAGTTCAAGTAACTACGAGTAGTAATAGCGGAAAATAATATTTTTATATATATTTTTATAACTATTGCCGATCACCTGGTGCCATATGGAAATCGACTTCTGGTACATCTTTATACTTGTATCCAACGCAGATGACATACTCCTTGCAAAGCAGTGTTTTTCGATTATTGTTTGTTGTTTTATTATAT